TTATTCTGTTGTTATGGTTCAGTATGTTTTCATTTGTATTTTGTTGACTTAATGTAGTTTTAACACGTTTTGTACTTAAAAAGGTGCCTGTCGAATCCACAGCCATGCCATTTTGCTTCGCGTTACTGAACTGCGATAGAAACATGAGTGTTTGTCGAAGACTTTGTTTTAAAATTCTTTATGCCAGCTCCTCTGGGACACAGCCGGAGACAGCTGGGTTGCTGGAGCTGAGTTTTAACAGTATTAAATAAAGATACAGACACTGTAGTAAATGTACTATGCGACAAGATACGACACTGTGTCTGATGCATCTAGCTGAGATTCTTGGGGATACAGAGCATTCCCTCTGCAGCCTGACCAGAACCAGGGCTTGCTCAGGGCTCTGGGGAGAAACACACAGGCCTGTGGCTGTGGACTGGACTCACGGCTCCGGCTCCTGTCCTGGAAGATCTCATTGCTGGATAAATGGACCTTCTGTAGACCTACACCTCTTTTTTCAAAGACTTGGGAAAGCTACGGATGTGCTCAGGAGGCCCTTGAGGACCCAGGCAGGCTGTGCTCTGGCTAGAGATAACACTGTAAAAAACAGGCCTCCCTATATCATCAGTGTGGTAAATATTGTTCTGCCGACGACAGAGGCAGGTTTCACTCCCGACTACCCGCCCTGACCCGAGTCACTGAACTGGTTTTCCTCTTTTAAAAAAAGGTTTTATTTCTGTCTTTTTTTATCCTGTATCTAGGACATAGAAAAAAATCAATTTCGCTCTCATTTCCTGACAAAACTGTCCTTATCTTGAAACAGAATCTACAACCTGAAAACAAACTTTGAAGTCTTCAATCTCATGCGGTTGGACTCTTTTACAGGCTCTTCACGCATTTTTTCATCTTTGGAAAGTGTCAGAGAGTACAAATGCATTATTAACAGCACATAAAAAAGTACTCTGCTTTTAAAACCAAGAGCAGCACAACTTTATTTTAGACTCCTCCACTGGTCACCTCCCTGTGCTGTTTAATGTTCAAAGCACAGCTCGGGCACACAGAATCTTATCTGTACAAGATGCAGTTTCTGCACAATGTCCTGGGATCCTCATCACCCGCACCTATTTCTTATATCTTACTACTGTAAGTTACAGGATGTTGACCTGTTTTAAGATACAGACAAATAAACAGTGCACACAATGAAGGCCGAATCCCCACAGAAAGAGATGTGGAAAACGGCACCTGAACTGTCTGGGAGGTTTGGAGTGTGGAATATGGCCCGTAAACTCAGTGTGTTATCTGTCACTCAGTTTAAATAAAATAATGAATCCATTTTCTGACCACTTTATCCGATTCAGGGATCCGGAACCTATCCTGGCCAACTCAAGGCAGGCTACACCTTGGACAGGACGCCAGTCGGTCACAGGACACACACAGACTCACACCAGGGCCGATAATCCCAGAAGCCAGTTTTCCCACCAGCATGTCTTTGGACTGTGGAAGGAAACTGGAGCACCTGGAGGAAACCCACACGAACACGGAGAGAGCATACAGACTCCACCCAGACAGCACCTCAGGTCTGGAATTGAACCCAATGTTGTGAGACAGCAATGGTAACCTTTTCGCCACCATGCCACCCCATTATGATAAGACAGAAATTAATTCAGTCTTATATGAAGGCTCCTGGAATATTGCATTGTGAGATTCAGAATAATGCATCAAGACAGAGAAAGTGCAGTGTATTTTTTTTTAAATAGAATGCAAAATGACAACCTGATTATCAAAATGATTAATTGAGTGACTGTTACCTTGGAAGCAAGCTGTTATAGAAATCGTTCATACTGTGCATGTGATTTTCATCTCATGAATGAATAAACCAGAACATCCCCGCACACGAACACTGCGCTGGCTGTATGGATTGGAAGCAGCTCTATCGACAAAGTTAGACATTAGCAGGACATGAAGTATCAATCCTGAAAACATGGCAACCACTGGCAAATCAGTAATCTATAGCAGAATTGAAATAAAAACTATGGCTTCTTTGCTACCTGCAGGGGGAAATGCTCAGAAACAACTGTGACACCAGTTTCAGATTTCAACGCGAACAGTTGGCCATGCTTTATAATAATGTATTACAGTCATAAGATAGACGCAGCTCAGCACTGAAACAATCTCCTGGAAAATGCTGTTACATTAGGTGTTACATGTAGATCACTTTGCATCACTACGATCTAAGAGACACAACACAGTCTGCAAAAGCCTTTCAACTGACATCTCTGCGAATGTTACAGATGAGTAATCATTTGCAACTACTACTTGCAAACAGTACTGATACTACCAAGTAACGTACAGCATGTCGCTAATGTTCTTTATCATATTATATCATTTATTCAGAAACTGTTTAACGCTTATTAAGCATGAACTAACACTGTTAATGCACACACTGCTCTAAAGATGGTCAGAGCTCATGACCAAAAGGTTTCGATTGTACTCTGACTTCAGGGATTCCAAATCTATATCTGAGATACATTAAGAAATAAAATGGCAACTATTGCCCTGTGCCCAGAATTCTCATGCACTAGCAAACTGGACACCAATGGAAAGGATTCACGTTTGTAGAAATAATATCTTCACGAGATTAACTGAAATAGCTTACATCTCATTGTTTACTGAAATCGCAAATTATCACAAATTCACGCCAGTAATATCACAAGTCAACACAAAATTGTGCTGTTTTATATAATTTTGAGGCATATTAGAAAGACAAAAAGAATAAAACAATTAAGACAAGCGATTAAAAGAAACTCCAAAAAGTTACTTTCGGAGCACTTAAGTATATAAAATGTATCAAGCTGGCCAGTAATTTAGAATCAGCCATTGGCTATGCAGCAGTACAAGTGTCGATATCGACACTCGTACCCTTGACACATTGACAAGGGAAGGTGAAGTTAATGATGAGAACACATTTATGGCGATTTTTGTGAAGATGGTCAATGTCTTAATTTCCGATTCTTTGCATTCTCATGGGCGAAAAAAGTCACATTTTACTGTAACATGTGGAAACACAAGTTAAAAAAATAAGATCCTGCCTGCTTTTGCACTGTTCCTCCTCCGTTGTACAAGCTGCTTCGGCGAAAGGCACGACAACAGCAATAATAACATAACAAAGCAATGGGTTTCGAAATGTAAGGGGCTTTGATCTTTTGATGTGTTTGAAAAGGGCTTTACGGCCTGCAGTCCTGGTTCGAGTTATTTGAAGTGAAGGATACGCGGTTAGCTCCGCTGAGCCGGCACACAATTTTGTTTTGCTGTTCATTATAAAAGCAGGAACTGCAATACTACCGACTCACTGAAGAAAGAGCATAAAAACTTTAAGAATGAATATTAAATCAAATTCTCTAAAAAAAATCAGAAATGTATAATTCTTGGCTTTTTAAAAACTAAAATACACGCATTTACTGTATGATCTCGACAAACAATGTGGATTTTTTTTACAATTACAGCTCTTTCGTTGATAAATCATCTCACCGCAAACTTGATAAGCGCAATGCTTTTGATCGGAATTTAGGAATAAAATGTTACACAAAAATACACGTATTTCAACAGAACGTGTTAAAATAAAAGAAAGTAAAACATGGAACTGCACCTTCATCGTTTCCAAGCTACATCATTTTAATATAAAAACTAATACCGACTGCCAAAGATAGCATCCCCATTTTCTAAGAACTCATATGCACTTTCTCCTGTATGAACACACCATGCTCAAGTCATTACTACTTACCAACTAAGTTAACCACTATTTTACAACTAGGAACACACAAACGTGCAGAAAATAAGTAAAGGAGAGATCATCACACGCACTGCGCAAATCTGGACAGCACAGAGATGATCACCTTTTTAAGCACAGAAAGGAGTCACTATCTGACTAAACCTGCACCAGTGTAACAACTGAAAATGTACAAACTAGAGGAGGATAAAAAAATAAAATCAATTTTCCTAGCTCTGTGCACGCACATACACAATCAAACACATAGTGGCGTGGCATTTTGTATGGTGCATGAGTTAATGTTGTAGAATATTTTAGCTGACCACTGGATGACTGACTGATTAGCACTTTTTATAAGACAATCTATTGTGAAATCAATCAGCAAACCATCCTGCTTCAGAAACAGGATGTTCAGACAAAATTAAACATTGGGCACCAGATATGCTGTTTTGCTGTATAGGTATGAATGTATTGAATGTATAAGACTGAGCTGCCTCTCAACGAAATTGCTCACAAAAGAAATTAAATAACAGGTTAATAACTTACCTACAGTATCGTCACGGAATAAGTTCCAGTGTCCAGCTGTGATGTATCCCCTGAATTTATTTCAAGTTATTAATTCTGTATTATTAAAAATACTAACTACACTGCTATAACAATCATATGCTCAGTGCATCGGTGGCATGATCAGCAGTTCCTACAACAACTGAAATCTGTAATAAATCCGACCACATAATTACACTGATCTTGTCTATGAGTTCTGCCAAAGTCCGATTCCATTTCTTTTTGAGAGCGATGAACTCTAACCACCTAACTTGTTATGCATCATTCACAGCCTGAAATCACAGTACAGTACCTACAAGGACAAGTGAAGGCAGTACTGGGGCTCTGTACCGTCTCAGGCTTTGAAATGTAAATGCTGTTGGGTCACACCAAAGGGGGAAACATTACTGCAATGACACATCCCCGCATGGTCGTGTCACACGGAAGAAATTAATAAGTATTTACACCTCCAGGAGTGAAAATGCCATTCTCGCTGAACTGAAGAGGGCAGAGGGGAAGAAGGGATAAAGTCAGAAAAGAAAGCAGTTGATTTGTGTGAACAGTGTGTGTGTGTGACTCAAGCCCCATGCAAGAACTGCACCACCAGAGAAAAGGAAGAGCACAATGAATTCTCGTGGCAGAAGACAGGGTCACGCCGCAGAGAGAGAGAGAGAGAGGGGCAAGAGGCTGTAGCAGGGATCGCTGCACTCACCTCCTCATGACGCGCTGCGCCCGCTCTCCATCCTGTGCACAAGACAGACGCGCACCGCGGCTCGGCTGCAAATGACATTGATCTCCCCGGGGCGCCGCTTAGGTAAAGTGACACTCCGGCCACCGCGGAGACAGCCGCTCCCCGCCCCAGCGCGCCTGATTGGTGCGCCGGGGGGTGCGAAGCCCGGCTGGGATTGGCCGGCGGGCCCTTCCGTCAGCACACACAGCGGCGCGGGCGAAGGCTGGCACGCTTTCGCCTGGGGAGACCGAGGAAAACAGAAATTCTGTTAAATGATACAAAAGTGCGTTCTGAGGATTTTTTTTTTGTGTCAAGGACTAAATTAATTTGAGGAGTTTTACATCTGATGCAAGAAAAGCAGACTATTTTTAAAAAGTTAGGTCAAACAAAAATATAGCTAGGAGAGTGCAAATTAACATGTTATATTAACACAAGGTGGATAGCCACCTGAAAACTGCAAAACAAAATACTTTTTAGTATTTCACTGCCAGAACTCTTATCTGTATCTATTATTATGTTAATTGATCAATAATATTTAACTTGTTATAAGTTAGTATTTAAAAGCTAAGATACTTAAGCTGCACATGAATGTCTTCCAGCTTAAGGGGGAAATCTAACCTCCCCTCCTATCTAAAGCTACATTTTCTGACTAAAAAAATAATCTGCAGGTATTAACACTCCTATATCACTTGTCCATGATAAAGAAGAATCTTTTTTTAAAGATGCTGAAAAGAGGAAAGGGTAAATCTGTGAAGAATCATCTAAAAGGCATTCATAATGAAACAACTTGCAAAAAAAAAACACCATACAAAAAGATACCAATTTAACACTGAACGCTAACTCTAAAACACAAGATCACTATTTATAAGCAGCTGTCATGTCTGTGCTAGTAATTGGGGAATTATGAGTATTAAAATGGTTTTTGACCTACAGTCCAAAATGGATATTCTGAAATACAAAATACTGTCTAAAATTAGTGGGTGCTTCTTAAAATGCTGCATTCTGGGCAAAAGATGTTTAAACGGGACTGTAAAATTCAACTCTTGTACACCATACACGGCTATGCAAAAGACTTTCTTCACAGTTCGACTCCTTTCACTCAGTGTTGATCATCCTTTGGGTAGATACACAAATCTATGACGATCCTCTCATTTTAGACATTTCGATAAGTTGACAAGTTGTTGCTCCTGAAAGGGCTGCATTTTGTAGCCTTTCAGCTTTGCGGATGTGCACAGAGGAACAAATGACGTTAATGACAAGGAGCTTCTGGCAATGACTCAATTTGACCCGATTGGTAAATGTGGATGATCTTCTTTACAACTTTACATTGGCTTCTCAGTTTCCTTGGTGATGCCGTGACAAATTATTTGAAGATTCTGATCAGTGTGAATTAAAGATTTTGCTAAATGACGAGCTTGGTGTCTCCTCACCCCAGCTAAGCTGTATTTTGAGCTGTTGTCACAATAGGCGGAAACACAGGAAATTATTGATGCCCGTAACACACGTCAAGGCTCAAGACTTAAGAAGTCTTTTACACAGCAGCTCAGCTTACAAATCTGATGTACAAAATACAGAAGAGCTTTCACCTTTAAATAAAGCATCCATAAATATTTACTCAAAGGGTAAGAAGGTCAATTGTACTGAAACGCAATGTTGTGTACTGTTATCATCTACAATATCTATATCATGTACAGTATGTGTCTTTTATGTGTCAGCTGAAAATGATATCTATACCACAGTGATTTAGTGTGATTGAATGTGACACTTAACCCATCGTGATGTATTTGATTCTTATGCAGAAGGAGAGAAACCACCCACAAGCTCTTGCACTTGGACACAGACCTTATCTTGAGATCTCACAGCCACAAAGTCACATTAATAAATCAGTAAATCAATAATCAAACAATTAACAATCTGTTCCAAAAATATCTCTTTTTTAAAAACATGTCCTCCATGTCCATAGAAAGGTCCCCTCCCACCTATTTCGGGCAGTGAAGCTGTCAGGTAGCTAATAATACCATACATGGAAATACAACGCGGAATTGCGACTCACCAGACAATCAGCATTTCATTGCGATATAAATCTGGTAATACACCTTCGCCGGTGTCAGGCTGAAGCAAAACAAACGGCTAAAATGTGAAACTGGGTTCTGAATCATCTCCCCCAGAGCTCGGCTTGATCCGCCCACAGCTCTTCTAAATTCCAGAGACGACACCTGGCAGGTGCTTCCTCCAGTCCCTCCGATGACACCAAGGAGTTCGAAAGGCCCTCCAACCGAAGCCAGACCCCCTCGCACAGGGTGCTGATCGAAAGCATTTAAATACGAGCGGCTGGCAGTGAGCGACCAGGCCGCCAGGGCACCCCGAAGTCAGGGGACTTCTCTCGTTTCAATGAAAAAATCAGGGGTCAGCAGAGCAGAAAGATTACCGCGGAGTTTCTTAAGGAGGAAACGACAGAGCCTCATCCCAGATGAGGTGTGACCGAAACAACTACACAGATGCACAGAGAGGTGTTCATGTTCAGTTTTTGAGTGGAGATGCTTTTGGTTTGACGCTGCAAAAAATATAAAGGGGTATTTTTTACACAAGACCAGTCACAAAGGGGAAGAGATCATTCAGCACAGGGAAAGAGATGGGTCGTAGCTCTTCTGGTAGTTAGCTGCTACTTGATTGGAGGATCTCCAGCTGTTTCTTGACGGCAGTGTGATCTACATGGGGTGATAGCTCGTTCCATACCCTCACAACCCATCTGTCTGAAGAAAAGCCTCTCAGTTTAAAGTGCGCTTCCTTGTAGTTTTTCACTCGTGTTCTCTCAGCTATGTTTCACGGTCCATTGTGAAGAAGTCAAGTTGACTCAGTGTATTTCAGCACATTTGAGGATTTTGAATACTTGTATCAGGTCCCCCCACAGCCTTCTTTACCCGACTGAAAAGGCTCAGTTCTTTCAGGCTGTCAGCGGAGGACACTCCCTTCAGCCCTGGAATACATCTGCTTGCTCTTCTTGGACTGATTCAAGAGAAGTGTGATCATTGTTTGCCAGTTCTTCTAATATCTAAAACATCCTATTATTGGCGCTTTAATGTTCACTGATTCACCAAAGCAGCTCAATGATCCTTTCTGCTTCTGATGGTTAAATATATGATGATCAATAACCATGTGTAATAACAGTTACGGACAGAGTGCTGCTCGAATTAAGGGCTTCATTATACTGTACAACAGATCCTATCAAAGACTAACATTTTTAACATGCTGTGCAACACTGCAGGCTGTGCTTCATAGCCTTGAAGCTACTTAGCAACTTGAAGGTTGGGGTTCAAATCCTGGGTGGGGAAATGCTGCTGTACCCCCGAGGTTCTACACCCAGACTATGCCAGTAAAATGCCCCTCTAGGCGTGATAGTGCAAATAGGTCTCCAGGGGTGACATGGAACATGTATTTTCCAGTGGAGGGAAGACTGGGTGGGGATGGTGAGTGTCCCAGGAACCCAGGACAGGAAAGGAACACTCACCTGGGGGTCCAAATTTGTTTTCTATGGGAAAATGTGGTTTCCATGGACTCTTCCTGGTAATAAAGGTTACAGCAATAGCATTTATGCACTGACAGCAGTGTGGCGGAATGGTTAGAAAGAACTTCAAGGGTTGCGAGTTCCAACCCTGGGAGGGGCAGAGCTGCTGAACTTCACTCAAAAGTGCCCTGTGGTATAAACTGGCACAAGTGGCTTTGGAGAAAACCATCAGCCACGTAAATTAATCAGCTGAGTGGTGACACGCCCGAGTAAAGAGAGAAAAATTACTTGATTTCGTGATCGAATCGTGTATACAATTTGAAATTTGAAAAGGATATTTAAGAAGAAATGCTGGGACACGAAAAAAAAAGATCAAAGCAGAGTTCTTACAAGCCCACGGACGAGTAAAAAATAAGTGTGAACTGGTGAGGAGCGCCGAGATGCTGCTATGATGCAGATGTTATCAGTAACACATTATTTTAGGCATGTGCAGGTACGTTTGGGTTACATGGCATGTGCAAGCTGTTCAACACTTTCTACATCAAGGTGAAGAAAAGTACAAAGGCTTTGTTAGTATATATCGCGCGTGTTCAGTAATAAAATGCTTCACATACGCTTTACTCTTACAAAGCAGACATTAGGCATTTGTAACTCACAAGCTGGCACGAAGAAGGTGATCTTCTGCAGTAAAAAGTGACACGCCCGATTCCCCACGCTGAGACACCAGGCAGGGGCGAGGTCCGGAAACAGCACGGAAAACTGAGAAGAGAACAAAAAGAGATGAAATAAGAAATGAAACAGTGGACATTAAGGGAAAAGGGAACAAAGAGAAAAGGGTTTTCAAGCCATTGCTCCAACACCTTCATCAAAAAGAAGACTGACTTCTTCAACTTACTGTACAATTACGAGAGAGCTGAGAAAAAAATGAAAAGGATAGATTGATTATGAACATCTTTTTCCACTACTTATCATTCTGGCCACATGAAATTTAACTGTCACAGCCATGCGACAGAGAATTGACAGAAAAGGAAGATTGCATTAATCAAATACCACACAACAGTCAAAACAAGAAAGCTGGTTTGGTTTATCAATGCACAGGTTTGGAGACTGCAGGAGTTGGTACAAAAAAATAAACAAAAAACAAATCAAAAAAAGAAATCAATAACCCTGAAAGCATTAACAGATCAGCAGAACAAGACATCTTTTTGTGCTCCTCAGTATGTTTTGTCCCCTTAAAGGAGGGCTTATGAATACCGATGTGAACTATAGACTGCAACACAGCAGCAATCAGACCGTTTGACTTCAGAGGGATCTGAAAGGGCAGGACGCTGGACACCCTCCTCTTCTGGGACAGCACTGGTCTAATCCTCAAGACACCAATAATTGACAGTTTGGGTCTTGCCTCTCATAATTCTGGCAATTATGTTGTTGCATGACCCACAGAATTAAGAAAGGTGTAATTCTGTAAGTCTTCCAATCAAAGCTCCCTTTTGTAGTGTGATGGTTAGACTGAACAACTGAAAGCTAAACCAAAAAAGAGCCTAGTTTTGTATAAACATGTGCCACTGTTGCTCGGGTGATTTGATGACTGATTAATTGGTTAGGCACGGTGAAGTCCTGACAAGGACCTGTTAAAACCATAGCAGGAGGAATGTGAAACCACAGCTGAATTCCCCCGAGGAGATTTCACAGTGCAGAGAGGGCACAGCCTCCACACGCCTCACAGAGCCGGCAGGAGCTTGGAGCGCTTACCTCACAGAGCCGGCAGGAGCCTCCCCCAAGGCACTCCAGAGAGCACACAGCAGGACACTCTCCTTCTGACTCTGCTATCTGCATCTCCCCCCCCTTCAGCATGAAGCCAGGCTGCGGCGAGGCGCACACTCAGCACACTGGTAGCTAAATAAGCTCCCACTGGCTGAACTGCTCAAATTAGTCAATAACCCTACTTCAGATACAGGGAGCAAGTTCAAGATGAACCCCTCCTCACGTCTATAAACTGTATAAATAAATACCAATACAGATGTGCATTTCTGATTAGTAGTTGCAGGTTCCATTTCTAAACTGTAACTTCTAATTTATTACATGCAATACCAGTTGTAGAAAAGTCTGCTAATGATGAATTGTTTGGGTATTAGGAAAGAGTTTGTTCTCATTTGTGACTGACATAGTTTATTACATATAACTGATTGTTAATAGCTTGTTTGATAAGTATATTTAGTATAGAGTATGTGTGTTACGACTATACAAATTACTGTAATTATTACAGTATGTAAATTATTTTAATGTACATTCACATCATTTAGTCATATGCTACTGTACAATAGACTGAGAAACGTTGATCAATAAGTTTATCAGTTTGTCAATTATCATGAGTAATACCTATCAAGCACTACACATGAGAACAGAAATATTCATGTTGCGACACTTTCTAAGGCTTAGAGGCAAACTTCCAAGCGCACATGTGTACCCAGCACAGACGCCTCTGTCACTCACCACGGACTCCACAATGCACAAATCACAGAGTGCTCACCGGTTTCACCTCACGCTGTCTGCGTTCTTGTAAGCGTTCTACATCTTGGCAGTATCTCTCGGTTTGGTCTGACATTTAACAGGCTGTGACAAAAGAAAAAAATAAATGTGACTAAGCAGAACAGGGAGCCTTGCGTGATTCCGATCATCACAAACACGCACAAACACGTCTGGGGTCACTTGTGACTGCTCTCCTGTGACGAGGCTTTCAGTACATTTCTTAAAAGGAGCTCAGAAGGGATTTTTTTTTGCCGCAAGGCCCGAATGTCTCAGAGCTCCTGTTGTTTTCTTACAGATCGCCTGCAGGAGCTCAGGCCTGGACACTGAGGATCTCTGTAGATTTCAAACTTCATCAATTCAAAGCATCATCATCACCATTATTATGATGTTTAATATTTGTGCACATTCAAACGCAACCATAAGTAAGCATTTATATATATATACAGTATATTACAGCTGTATCAGAGGCTGACCTCTGGCCCGAATGGGGCAGAGAGCTGCACAAGAGTGCCTCTGGTGGGTCTTCGCTTGATATTGAGCGTGAAATCATTCAGATATTAAACACATTTCCATTTTTAATAAGTGGTATTTTATTAGGAAAACCAGACAGTAAACAAATTGATCAACCAGTCCAAAAATAATATGCCTCATTCCATCGTAGGTGACCTGACACAAATATTCAAACCCCTCCAAGGCACTGATAAAGTCAAACCAGCGGGTTTCGACAGAATGAACTCTGAAAAATTAACCAGGGGGCACAAGAGGAAGCTGTGACTGAATGCCATGTTGTTGAAGCAGAGACCCTGACGTCTTTCACGAGAAGGGTGGATGAGATTCTGGCACCAAGTACTAATTATGAATCAGGCTTGAAGGGCTGAATGGCCTCCTCTCTTAGGTTCTTAGTGATGCTGTTGAAGCCTGTGGCGAAGTTTCTAGATCTGGCTTTTCAAGGGGAAACACTACCAACAGCAGCAAAAATGTACATCCCAACAACATCCCACTAATCAGGCTCACACAACTCATAAATGTAACTCCTCTTCTGCAGTTCAGAAAAGACAGCTTTCCAACAGACAGCTTGGTTGTGACTACAGTACATTGTCTTGCATTTACTCCAATGTAAGGAGATGTTTTCATTCCTTTCCCAAGCGGGAAAATGTTTTTAATATAAAAACCTTGTATCAAGTCCCAGTTTCAAGTATTAACATTTCATTTAAGTTCCTTTAAATAAAAAATAGCAAGCAAGAAATCCAGCAGTGAAAACGAAACAAGAAAAAAATAGCTATATAAACCCATATATCAACTCCAAGCACCAGTACAGCTCCCCGAGACCACAGGATGACATTACTCATCGGCTGCATGGAGATCAGATAAGAGAGAACCGGGATGGAAAAAGTCTGCGCCCATTGACGCCTCTTCGTGAAGGAGTGGACACTTGGCCAGGCCGTGACTGGGGCTCTGATCGCAACACCCATGGTACTCAGGTGCACAAAGGTCATGGGGCGTCGTGTGGTTAGGAGGAGTGCGCAGCGCACTTCGTCTTTCAGAGAGCACTGTCTAAACCACAGCCACTCACACAGCCCCCTGTCTTTGAACTGGAGCTGTAGGTCTGCCATCACACAACTTTTTTTCTTTCACATGTTTCATCTTATTTGTCCAGCTCCGCGAGGCATTTGTGTTTTCTGTAATGTCACAGGTAGGAAGGCACAACCGCAGTCACCTCCTCGGAAAGCAAAAGCAACAGCTTTAAAAAAAAGGCAACAGAGGGAGAGCAAAATTTTAAAAGCACTTCTGAAACTACAAAAGGGGGCTAGCTCTGGGTGTCAACCTGGGGGTGGAAGGGCAGAGCGAAAGCCATGTTGTAAATCGCTCGACTCCAGCTGGAGGAGGGGAAAGAGATGTGTGCTGTTCGCAGTGACGCCACTCTGGACTGGACCAGAGATCATACCCCATGCCCGAGCAACACGCTGCATTCCCAGCGCGTGTGGCCAGTAACTCCCGTAAAAACAGGGAGACACTGCCCAGCCTGTAAGCTTTGCAGCCGGCCTTCAGGGCCCTGAAGTTATCATTTAGACTGGGCAGGGGACCTTGGAGATGCACCTGGATTTCATGGAAACCAAAAAGGGGAAGTGCATATCTATACTGCTGCAGAACACGATGAGTTATCCACATTTTCTGGGGAAAACAAAAGATGGTAAACTGACTCAGCGATTTGAGGATCGTTTCCTAATATTGATCATTTTGACTTCAGTGTTAGAGCCATTATTACTAAAGCCTTAGTTCTGGCAAACTCCGAGGGGCGGAATGGCCCTGTCCAGTCATGCAGTTCCCACACGGTCGTGTGTGTTGGTAAGCACAGCCGCTGTGAGGCGGGTTATCAAGCGTTTTCAGAACAGTTCATCAGAGAGTACAGTGTCTTGACAGGCTGGAACGGTGGGGTACCCCTGTCTGAGCTGAGCCACAGAAAGTTGCAGAGGAACAGTATTCAGGCTGTAGGCGGACTGTTGTTCGATCTGACTGGCCCAGGGATCTCTGGGAAACCCCAGATACAAATGTCAGGTTTTGCATAACAGCCATGCCTGTGTCCAAAAATTCACAAGAGGATGGGTAACACTCCTCGCGGGATGACTTGGCTGGTGTTTTTCAGGTCCTGTAAGATGTACTTAAAGAATGCCAGCAGTAAGAGTTAATTCACAACAGCTGCTCAACTACCACATGCAATGTTCTCAGAGAGAAAGGTCAGACCTCAGGAAAGGCATCATTGACAAATCTCAATGGCTTGACAAACAATAACAGTTTCAGTGAATAAGCTGGCTATTATGTATTCAAGAACGAGAATGCTTTTAATGCAAGCGAGAAATAACATGATAAACATACAGTTAGGATCAGTCTAGATTTGCATTTAAGATAAAATTAGTCTTTCAATAAAGAGAATCATGGAAAAAGGCTGTTATCTACCTACTCAGCTCTGGTGGCTGAGATTCTTGCCATTTCATTTTCTTTTTCCATAGCTAATCATGTCTCTGTTATTTTCATATATCCTCATTAATGCTTATTCTATGATTGTTCCACTTTTGTATGCATTTTCCAGCCCTGCCTACACGAATGTCACATCCAACACTTTCCTTGGTTTGAATCCGCGTCTCCTCTCTTGCCCGTCACTGCAACACCAAGGGCCACCCGGAAGAACAAGACATTCCAAGTGGTGACTCCTGGCTCTGACTTCTTCCGCTGTGAACTGTTCTCGCTCCTCTTTCAGGATACCAATACTGCAGAAAAGAGGGCGGCAGGCTTGCATTACTGCTACCGAAAGACAGGTGGCGCTCTGCTGGCGGCTGCCACACTCACTTCCCTGGCGCCACTGGGTCCTTGCCCATTTGGGAGTGGTACCCCCGTGTGTGTGGGTACGACGCTGTTGGCCACACCCACACCCATGAGGGGACCATTCCCAATGGGTACAACAACTACTGTTGGCCAGTTTAGGCTCTGGCTCAGCATGGCCCTGACGGGGGCAGAACTCCAGCCTGTTTCAAGACCCGACCGTACGTGATCCAAGGATCAATTCAATGCGTACCACCCAACAGGCCAGGTGGGCTGAATGGCTCCTCCCATTGGTAACATTTCCTAAGTGGTAATTAATTTTACAGGAACGCACATTAATTGTTATAATTGGATTATTATATGCTGTTTACACTCATTTTTATGACAAATTAAGAAATTCAGAAAATTCTCATCTAACCTGTTATGTGTGGTTTTCCAGGACTCCATTCTAGACGGGTCTCAGCTCTCGACAGGTCCCTTTCCTGTCCGAAAATGTGCAAGTTACAATGCAATGTAAAATGTAATAGTTATAACATCATTTAAAAAACAAAATAGTGGGAAAGTAAGAATGTGTAAAAAGAATACTAAAACTGATGTTTGATTTTTCTACACAAAAACACCTACTTGTGACCTCTTTCCCTCCGTGTTTGTTGCTAGCTGCTCATCTCCTTTCCCCTTACCCCCTGCACGGCGCCTTTCTGGTGACGGTCAGGGACGCACAGCTGCATGTGGTCAGAAGACTCTGCAGGCTGCAATGCCTCTGAAAAGAGATGCAGCCGCTCGCAAAGGTGGTGTTATTGAAGGCGAGTGACCACTTAAAAAAAACAAATGACAAGATACAAGCAGGGAGGAGGAGTTATTTGGAAAAAAAACAGACTTCACAGCAAGATCTGCGCCAGTAAGTGTGAAGGGTGATTTCCACCCCGGTGTAAGATCAGACCTCGGCGCAAACTGCCCCCTGGCTGTGCAGAGGAGCACAAGAATAGAAGGGAGGTCACTAACGGAGTGGGGTGTCGGGGGTCGTCATCACATCTGGCTCACTGTCCAAGCCAACAATCTCGCCCAGCGGTTTTCTTGAAAGTCGCTACATCAGTGGTGCCGCACACTGTGGGGCTGCGAGATGCTCTGACAGTGCAAGATGTGCCGATTTTTTTTAAGAAGGTATATGATTGAAAACCCAAATTGCTTGAATGATTTTTGATAAGGGGTGAGAGAAGCAAAGGGGTGCAGGCTGCAGTGAGGGCTAAGAGCAGCTGTCCTACAACGTGAACTGCAGTTACGCAGTCCACGACCATGCTTTCTGTCCTGAATTCTCTCAAAGTCAACCCCTCCTGTGTCCCTGGTCCTGGTATCCCAGTGAAGCCGAGCTGACACTGCCCAAACCACAGTCCAGTTTCAATCCAGATCAGCTCTCAGTGATGTCACTGAACCCTCCATTCTCCCAATATCCTGCCATTCAGACTCCTTTAACTTGACAGCTGAAAAGGTTGAGGAGCAGAAGGCTGCATTAAAAAATCTAATTGAAAATAATTATTTGATCAAAGTTTTGACTAAAAGAACTGAAAGCGAATGTTTAACAATGATTCCATATTTTATAATGATGTAAAAGCAAGCCACTGGCACTGGTGGATTCAAAATATTCTATGCATATTTCCAGTTTTGAGGTTTAGGAAAAATACAATTGTCTATTTCAAGTGGCGCCACAAACAAGGTACCATCCAGAAGCCATTAATGTCATCAGCAGTGGAGCACAGCAGCTGTAAGTG